TCTGTTTTTTACTTTTTTCCCTTGCATTAATGCTCCATAGTTGGGTGTAAACTATGATGGTCTGAGTCATCAAGTAAAGGTCATACTCTATTTTAGAAGACACCGTTAAAATTTTTTTCATTAAACATTGGTACATGTGAAGGAGAACACTTCAGGAATCTGGAACATTTACTTCTGTGAAACAGCTTATACCCCTAAGATGCTAGGTAAATGAGGCATTGCTGTACTTGGGAATCAAATTATCTATATGTGGAATAGAAGGACCTTTTAGTTCATTGAATTTTATCCACTGAGAATTTTTTAGTCAAACACAGGCCATGTTGCCAGCGAAGGTTAGATGGCTGGCAGTTACGTGCTCCAGGGAAATGCCTTGCTAGTCAATTAACTCTATTTAGGAATTCTAAAAATTCTGCCTAGAAATGAATATAAAGTACTTTGTTAAGCATTTTAAAATATGTTACCAAAGCTTCTCTCGAAGACCAAGCTCCTTCTTTCCCCCTTTCTACTCCTTACCTTTTAAAAGCCAGTCTTCTTTTGGTGATGTTATATGGCTGCAAATCCTGAAACATTTTTGTCTCTGGAAATTGAAGTTGATAAAAAGCCAAATGGCAATGGAGAGGGACATGGTGGGCATGAATAACCTACAACTCATAACTGAGAAAATATGCAGAAGAAGTAACATAAAAGATGTCATAAAAATGTATTCCTTGAACAAAAGATAGATCTACTACATAGTAAGAGCAAGAAATACCAATAGATAAACCTGCATGCTCAAATGAGAAAGGCTTCCCAGCATGTTGAATGAATCTTCAGTGATGAATTTATGAGAGGAAATAGTTGAGAGGCACATAGGATGAACTAGACATAAGTGGTTTGTGACTTGTACCTTTGGAAGAAGTGTCCACATTGATGAAATCACTTATCTAATGGAGTATAGGCTTCAGAGAAAGGGTTGCAGTGTTGACTAGAATAGTCAGAAGAAGCTTCATCAAAGAGATAGGAATTGAGTTGAGCTTTGAAAGATGGGTCAGATTTGAATTAGGTGAAAATGTAGAGAAAAGACGCACCAATCCAGGGAAATGGTATGTGCAACAGCTAAAAGGAGGAAATCGGTGTTTGGTAGAGAGAGAACTGTGAAAAGGTCATTCTTTTTGAAGTGAAGGATCCATTAAAGTGTTTGGAATTGGACAGTCAGGTAACCTCAAATTATACAGGCCCTAACTTGATGTGGTAGGTAATAGAAGGTCATTGAATTTAGTAAATATTTATTAAGTGTCTTCTATGTGCAAGTAATTGTGCTAGGGATACAAAAATAAATATAATACTGACCCATCTCTGAAGGAGCTTACAACTTGTTGGGAAGGATGAATATACAAATGTATCAATTACTTAAAAGTCCTACTATGCTATGTGCAAAGTACTGTGCCAAGCACCAGGAAGGCAAAGATAAAACAAAAATCAGACCCTGCCCTCAGGAAACTTAAAGTCCGCTGTATAATACATATGCAACATGTGAGCATAAGTATATAAGTGATTATTTGTGGAGGGAGAGAGCATCACTACAGCTCTGGGGATCCCCAGGATTACACAGAAAATGGCATGTAAGCTGAACCTTGAAGGAAGTCAGGGATTACAAGAAGTGACATTAAGGGGTAAATGTTCTCCAGGGATAGGGAATAGCAAATGCAGAGTAATGCAGGCAAGAGATGGGATTCTGAGTGTGAGGAACTGAAAGAGCAGTATATTTGGGATATGGAGTATGTGAAAGGAAGCGGTGTGAAGTAAGCCTGGAAGGGAAGTCAGGAATGAAATCAGGAAGGACTTTTAATGGCCAGCTGACCAGTTTGTTCCCTGTCCTGAGGCATTGTCAAGGAACCATCAATGGTTCTTGAGCAGAAAGAGAGACAACATGTATTGGGCCATATCCAAGAGCAAAAATGTGATTAATACAAAGAAGTCCAGGCAAAGTGTAAGACACCTACAGATGTCAGGGAATATTTTGTAGGGGAGAACACATCTAAGTTTAGTCTTAAAGGAAGAAATAGATGTCATTAGATGGAGATGGCTGGAGGGAAGGAGTCCATTCCAAGCATGAGCTATGGCATCAACAAAACCATAAGTAGAGCAGGCTAAGTACAGGCTAAGAGCAGAGAACAGTTTAATTTGGTTTGAATACAGAGTGTATTCCAACCATTACAGGTTACAACAATAAGTTACAACCTATTGAAAACACTATTATTTTTTAAATTAATTTTTTTCAATTAATAAATTGTTTTCCCCATTCACATTTTTAAAAATTTTTTGGCTAGGCTATGGGGTTAAGTAACTTGCCCAGGGTCACACAGCTAGTAAATGTTATGTGTCTGAAGCTAGATTTGAACCTCAGATCCTCCTGACTCCAGGGCCGGTGCTCTATCCATTGCACCACCTACCTGCCCCTCCATTCACATTTCCCACCCCTCCATTCACATTTCCCACCCATGGGGAATAATCAAGTCAAAGAAGAAAATCAAAACTCTTTTGACCTTTTGCATAGTCAAACAAAACAAAATCCCACATTGGCCATATCCAAAAATATATGTCTCATTCTGCTTGTTTTAGTCCATCACTCTCTGTCAGGAGGTGGGCAGCATCTTTTCGTTATCTTTACTCTTAGAAGATTCACCTGACAGTGTTTGGCAGGATCACTTTGGAAAGGAGAAAAACTGGAACCAGGGAGCCTAAGTAAGAGAGACTAGTGCAGTGATTCAGTTATGAGGAAGTAGGAGCCTCGACAGGATGGCAGAAGGAAGCCAAGGGAAGACAAAAATAGGAGAGACGTTCCCAATGGGAAAAAAATTATAAGACTCAATGGTACTGGATATAAGGAGTAAAGGAGAGGGAAGGGTTGAAGATGATTCCAAGGTTCCTAGCTCTACAGACTGTGACAATGGCAGTATTGCTGACAAAAAAAGTAAATGTAAGGTAGGAAAGCCATTTAGGGGAGAGATGCCAAGTTCACTTTTGGGCTTGTTAAGTTTCAGGTGAAGGTAGAGTTTCCAGTAGACAACTTAAGATGGAAATTTAGAAGTCATTTGCATAGAAATGATGGCTGAATCCATGAGAATGGAATGGTCCTAGATAGGCAAGACTAGAAGATCACAGCAGTTAGATAGCATGGTGGATAGAGTGCTGGGCCTGGAGTCGGGAAGAAGACCTGAGTTCAAATTCAGCCTCAAACACTTGCTTGTTATGTTACTCTGGGCAAGTCACTTAACCCTGTTTGCCTCAGTTTCCTCATCTGTAAAATGTTCTGGAGAAGGAAATGGCAAACCACTCCAATGTCTTTGCCAAAGAAAACCCCAGATAGGGTCACAAAGAGAGACAGAACTGAAACAAGTGACCAATAAAGAAGGCAAGGGGAGATAGAGAAGGAATAGTCAGAAAGAGAGGAGGAAAGCCAGTTTACTCCCTTATCCCAGAAACAAAGGGCAGAGAGGGTTTTCAGAAATACTAAGGATAATTAACTGTCCTCCAGGAAACTCTTTAAGACTCCAAGTTGTATATTACATGATGATCAGCTGTGAATGACTTAGCTATTCTTGGCAATGCAAAGATCCAAGATAATTCCAAAGGACTCATGATAAAAAATGCTATCCACATCCAGAGAAAGAACTGATGGAGTGTAAATAGACATCAAAGCATACTATTTTTTACTTTTTTTTACTGTCTTTTTGTCTGTATTTTCTTCCACATGCCTATTACAGAAATACGTTTCACATAACTGCCCGTGTATAACCTACATCAAATTGTCTGCCTTCTCAATGAGGGGGGAGAGAAGAGGAGACAGAGAATTTAGAACTCAAAATTGAAAAAATGAATGTTAAAAATTATTTTTTACATGTAATTGGAAAACATAGTTTTAAAAAAAAGACTAAGTTGCAGAAAATAGTTGATAGAGAAATTGAGGTGAATAGGGACATGGAAAGGACACTGGGTTTGACTAGAATGGTGATTGGTAACTGGTGAGAGAGACATTTCAGTAATGTGTTGAAACAGATTACAGACCTGTGATTTCATTGGCTTAAGGAATTTACTCCTAGAGAGGAGGCTCCTTCTGCACATGCAGGTTGGCACTTCTCTGTCCCTTTGCAGAGGTGTCAAACTTCAGGCTGCCAAACTCCCTCGTGTGACAGGAATCAGATTAAAATAAAATTGCAGAACGTTTAATAAATAAATAAAAATACAACACAGCATAAATAACATTAATTTGTGGTTTCCTAAATTAATTTGTGACTGGCAGGGATTCCTTTCTTTTTGAGTTTCATACAAGTGGCTGGCACTGAAAAGTTAAGTGACTTCTCCAAGGTTACACAGCCAATATATGTTAGGTATATGATTTGAACTCAGGTCTTTTTGGCTTCAAAGTCAGCCCTCTATCCATTATGCCACACTACATATCTAGTAGGAGAATGATAATATTTTCTTTTTCTTTTCCTCTGGCCACTCCTCTTGGAAATCATGATTTTCACTTACATTCTTATTTTGTTGTAGATAGCTTATTTTGATATTTTGTTTAAAATTGTTCTCCTTAACTTGTCATAGATTGCAAAGTTATCAAGCTGACATGATCGTTGTCTATATTCCATTCCTTGGTAAGATTTAGCTCTATGACTGTTGAGATAAGTACATAACTGCTATAAGAAAGTGATAGAAAAAGACTGAATATTTTCAGGATACTTGGTTTTAAAAATACTTGGAATTATCAACAATGGGGAGACAAAAGGATATAATTTTTTTTCAGAGAGCAAAAAATATTAGACCTAGAAAAGACCCATTAAATCACCAGACTTTCTCATGGGATTTGGGTCAATATTGTTTGCTGTAGAATGTTTTCCAGAGATGTGTTCAGGGAGTTGTGCTTTCGTCAAAAGCACCTTCAGTGTTTACGTCAGGCACATGGTCTTTCTGTTAGTAATGCTCTTCTATAACAAACATCCTTTTTTTTTTTTCCATTTCAGGGTTATACTAAAGATATGGTGACGGACTTTGATGAAAAACATGATGAGTATTTAATATTGCTTCAGCAGAGAAATCGGTAAGATATAGTCACTAACAGTCCTTACTGGTGGCAAAGCATGTATTATTTTTTACAAATAGGTAGTATTTTGGGAGAAAGTGTTGCAGATTACATTTTTTACTCATGGATTTAGAATTCAGCTTTTACTATCTAAGCTTCAGTTCCTCCTCCAATTCATTGACTGGCACATTTGAGTTTTAACAAACTGTTTAACCACTTCTTGCTTCACTGCTGGTTTTTGTGTTCATAAAAAGACACGTTTTGACAGCACGTATGTGGGAGTACAATTGGTAGGATCAGCCTTCTAGGTCTTCTCTATCTAATTATTAAATAACAAAACTAGAATTCATAGAGCAGTAAAAAAAATCTGATTCTCATGACCTGCCTCCCCACCCCAAACAAGAAATGATTTCTCCCTCAGTTGCTGATCTTTGTATTCCTCTTATGCACTTACCATATTTTATTTTGTCTTATTAACTTACTTACTCATTTGTAAGATCTTTGAGGGTTTATCTCTTATTTATTTTTGTGTCTTTTCCCCCAGCAACTTTTGTATAATATTTGCACTTAGTGCATGATTAATAAAAGTTTGTTGAATGATTATACAAGTCCTTTTTAGCCTGTCATTACATATCAAGTTGGGAGAGTACTTTGAAGTAGAAATTGTAAGTATTCTTTTTGTATAAAGATTAATTCATTTTTCATTTATTTTAAAGGAGGTTGAGTTAATTCAAAGTGCCTGGGATGAAATCTGTCTCATTATAATAATAAAAATAATAACAGCTTACAATAATAAGTACTTTATAGTTGCAAATCATTTTATGTACTAACATATGTAAAACTTTTGAAATTTGGTTAAAGCAGATGTGATAGAAGACAGGAAAGTGACTGGATTCAAAACAGCATTGTCTAGTTTGAAAGAAATTTTATTATTAAAGAAGTCTTATCAGTATTAGAATTGTTTTGTTAATTTCAAGCTCACTGCTATTTGCTTTTAGATGGAATAGTCAGAGTCCTGTTATTGAAATGGGCCTGCTGCTAATTCCTTGGGCTTCTCACAACTAGAGGCCACGTGACTATATAAGTGATTCTAGTCAGGAAGAACTTAAAATAACCTTGTGTATCATTAGGATAGCTTCTGCAGGAATACAGATGTTCTACATAATTTTTAACATCTTGTGGCTATTTAAAACTGAAACAGAGCCAATTTAGTGTTGACCAGGCTAATTTAAAGCACATTGGGAAGCCAGGTTCTAGTACAGGCTCTTACTAATTAGCTTATGACCTCAGGTAAGTTTCTTAACCCCTCTGGGCTCAAGTGTCCTCATCTGAAAAGCAGGTAGTTGAAGAAGATGACTTCTGAGACCCCTCCCCTCTCTAGTGCCGTGATCAGGAATATCACTTTCTAATAGAGGCCCACTCTGCAATGCTCTAGTAAGACCATATTTGGAATATTGTGTCAATGATTTGATTATATCCAGAGGATGGCCATCAGGATAGTGAGGGAACTCCAGACTGAGGTTCAAAGTGACTTTCTCATGGCCAGAAATTACAAAATCAGAATTTGAGAGTTGAAAGAGAGCTCAATTGAGGACCTTAAAGAAATCCTCCTATAACCAGACTCAACAAGTAGTCACTCATCCTCTGCTTGAAGACCTCCATCGTGGAAGAATGCACAACCTCCCAGGAAGTCCTTCTGCTTTTGGATGATGCTAATTTTTGTGAATTTTTCCTGAAATAAAACTTAAATCTACTCTTTTGTACCTTTTGTTCATTGGTCCTGGTTCTGCCCTATGGTGCCGAACAGAGTAAGTGTAATCCTTCTTCCACATGACCTTCCTTGAAGACAGCTATCATCTTATCTCCTAATTCTTATGTTCTCCTAGCTAAACACACCCGTTTTCTTTGTTTGGTGCATATGTGACATGGACAGTATATGAAATGTAGCCAAGTCTGAGCCCTAGTCTTCTGACTAAACATCCACTGCTCTTTCATATACTAAGCTGCTTCAAGGGGATTAGAAAAGGAGTGTGAAAATAGATTGAAATGTTAAAAATGATATTGTCTGAGAGTCTATATAATTGGAATCTATGAATCATGAAGAATATGCACAGGATGAGTGTGGACTTGGTATGCAGATTTCAGAACACTACAACTAAGGCATAACCCTAAATTTGAAAAAAATTCTATTTTACATAAATTTGAAAATCACTAATCTAATAAATGGTATGGACAGAGAACAAAATAGTTGAAGGAATTAAATCAAATTAAATTAAATTAAAAATCATAACTAATTATAGAAGGGTTTTTTTCTTTTCTTTTGTTTGGTTTGGTTTAGAAAATATGTCCAACTATGGAGAGCAAGCAACTGTTCTGGATATTTCTATCAGAAGCACAATTCTAGACTTGGTAGAATACTGACATGACTCAGTATGAAATGTCTCGTATTCTATGTAGTTCATGACTAGTTAAGTGTGCTAACAGAGTTTCTATTTAAAGAAAATCTTTAACACAGTTACCTCCAAACTTATCAGTTTGTAAATTTAGTTTTTCATACGTTAGTTTCACATATCAGTTTTCTCAAAGTAAAATACTTTATCTAGACCAGGTTCTATCTCTGAGAAACTTTAATTCATAATTTCATTCATTCATTCCTTCTTTTCTTCCTTCCTTCATTCAGATTTGTCATCACTTAGCATAACATGAGCCCAAACACTAGAAAAAACATCCCCATCCTTGCGCCTTCTATTTCTGTCCAAATAACTGGACCATCGGTTCATACAAGTAGATTTTCTTCATTCTAGTCAGCCATTTGTACCATTAGCTCTAGTTTGTAAGTCAGATATTTGATATGTTGTTCATTATTGTGCTGTGTGACCTATCCCATGATAAACTGACTCTTAACACATCTTTCACACAATTTTTCACATTCTGAGTCTTACTGCTGCTTCCTCAGGCATACCACAAATCAAAGAGTGGCTTATGGAGGATGTTCTCAGGGACCTAGCAGTTGGTAAATGAGTCATGTGTTTTTGTTGTTTGTTTATCATAATCCTTACTCCTAGATGTAGATATTCTATGTCCTGGACTGCAGGTGGGCACAGTGCCTCAGTAATACTGACATCACAACCATCCTAAACCATCCCTGATACTATTCAGTTTGATTAAATTCAACATGTCTATATTAAGAACCAGTTATACAGAAGAAAATCTTAAAGTTGCACTTAGCAAATTATCCAAGATAACAAAAGATGGGAATAGTCAATGTTGGAGGGGTTGTGGAAAGACAGGCAACACAATTAGTGGAGATATGAATTGATTCAGCTATTCTGGAAAATAATTTGAAATCATGCTAAAAAATGATAACATGTGACCCACTGCTAGGTATATACCTTAAGGAAGGCAAAGATAGAAAGAAATATCCCATATACACAAAATATTTATAGTAGTACTTTTTGTAGTAGCAAAGAATTGGAAACAAAGTAAATGTCCAGTATTTGAGGAATAGCTAAACAAATGAAGATACATCAATATAATGAAATATTATTGTACAGTAAAATATAATATATGCAAAAAATATAGAGGAAAAATAGAAGGAAATAAGCCTTTATAAGAACTATAAGTAAAGTAAAAAGATAGAGGAAAACAATATACATATGACTCCAACAATGTAAATGGAAAGAACAAAAAAAACCCATTGGAACAGAACACTGTAGAAAAAGTAGGAAAATATACTTCCCTTATTTGGGGGGGTGAACAAGTGGAGAATGCGGTGGTTTGGGGGTATGGGTGTGGAATACTGCATCTACTATTGGATCTGGTTGATGTATTGGTTAGTTTTGCTGAACTCGTTTTAGTTTTTGTCTCCTTTGTTAAAAGGGATGGGTTTCTAGATGGAGGAAGGAAATTGGGAGATTGAAGTGCTGTAAAAACAAAAGAAAATCTATGAAAGATTAAAAAACAAAAAGCCTACAAAACAAAGCAAACCTACTGTGCCCCTCTGCTAGTTGCTGAGAATGCAGTGACAAGCCCTGCCCCCTAAGAACTTACATTCTGCTGTACCCAAAAGAAGGGCAGCCTGGGAGCTCTGAAAGGTAACCTAGAACAGCAGAAGGAGCAGCAGTGACTGTGGACTCTAGAGCAGGGCTTCTTAAACTTTTTCCACTCACAACCCCTTCAGTGCTTCTGACTACCCCCCCCCCCAATGTGGGTTCACAATCCACAGTTTAACAGGACTTGAGTTCAAATCCCATCTCTGGGCATGTATTACCTGTGTGACCTTGGGTGAGTCACTTAACTTCTCTGTGCCTCACTTTTCTCATCTGTAAAAGTGAGAGTGTTAAAGGCCCCTTCTAGCTCTAAATCTATGAGCCCAGGAGCACACACGGACATGCATACATGGGGCATGCTAGGCAGCTAGGTGGCGTCGTGGTTAGAGCACTGGACCTGGAATCAGGAAGACTCAAGTTCGGATCTGGCCTCAAGACACTAACTAGCTATGTGTGACCCTAGGCAAGTCAGTTAACCCTGTTTGCCTCAGTTTCCTCATCTGTAAAATGAGCTGGGGAAGGAAATGGATATTTCCTTCTAAGTACTACTATAAATATCTAGTATCTTTGCCAAGAAAACCCCAAATGGGGTCATGAAGAGTTGGACATGACTGAAAAACAACTGAACAAAAATACGGCATGCCTTAGTGCTCTACCCACCTTATCAAAGATATCTGTAAAGCAGTTAGTCCAGTGCCTGGCACAGAATAAGAGCTTAACTAATGCTTGTCCTTATCCCTTCCTAGACCCATGCTGCCCAGGCATACCCACAAGCCTCACCTGACTCCTCTCTCTATCCTTGCACAATTTCTTTGTAACAAACAGCTTTTTCCAAGAGACAGCAGTAGCATTCACTCTGTCTGTTCTCATTAAGTACCCTGGCTACAGCAGTCCCAGATGGAAATGCTGATGTAAGCCACCAGCTTAGCCCCAGCAGTACTAAGTGGCAGAAGTATAGTCAAACCTCCTGGGGCAGTCCCGTCTACACCCTCTTCCATCACTGTGCCCTGCTAGGCTTCTTTAAAAATCTCTAGTCTCCTGCAGAACTCCTCATTTCTCATACAGACTGATACCCCATCTTGTCCTTTTTGGCCTGGGTAACAGCAAGTATCTGCTCTTTGTTATTCAACCTGCCTGTTCATTCATTAATATAGGGCAGCACTGTTGGAGCCAGATATTTCTGCCCTTATTTTCATGGGCATCTTGTCTTTGGAGAGGCACTGTGGTTTAGTGGAAAGTGTTAGACTTGGAGTAAGCAGAACCTGAGGTGGCACGCCACCTCTGGCATGATCTGTGTGGCCGTGGGCAAGTTATTTAAGTGCTCTGATCCTCATTCTCCTCTTCTGTGAAAATGGGGATAATAATAATAATACCTATGGTGCCTTCCTCCCAGGGAAGTTTTGGGCATCAAATGAGGATATATAGATAATATATGTATAAATATCTATGTATATTTATGTATATGTATGAAGCATTTTGGAAACCTTAAGGTATTATTCATGTCCCCTTTATTGTTGTTGTTGCTATTTGTATCATTGTTGTGATTATTTTTATTTTTCTTGGTAAGCATTGTATGAGCAAAGCTCAGTTTAATCCAGACCATTTTGCATGTTGAGGTCCATTCTCCTCCCTTGTTGCTGGAAAAGTATATTCTAATTCCTTAGCAGGATCCAAGCCCACTATGAGTTCTTTGCCAATATTGGTTGCATAGACACTTTAATAGCTACATATCATCCAATGGCAGGACATTGTCTGGTAATGAAGTTGAAGAGTGACACCAGTCACTGTATAAATGCAGGAACCATGCTTATCACTCTGCCTCAGTTAAACAGGTGGCAAGAATGCACAATTTAAGGATACCTGTAGACTGGCCAACTGAAGGAAAGCCACTAGGAAGTGAACAGAGGAATGCGTCAGCGCACTCTTGGAAGCGGTGAAGCAGCGAGGATTGGAAACTGACCACTTGTATGCTACACATTAAGAGGTTGAGTGTCTGAGTCTTCATCAAAACAATAGATTGGGCATAAAGAAGAAACAAGAGGCCTCACAGAGAGCCACTCCAAACTAAACAGTAGATTGTGCATGTGCACAGTGTGGAAGCGAGCCCCATCTTACATCGATCTTTTTGCCACATTAGGATGAGGAATAACTCCACTGGAAACAGCAATTTTTAGTATGAGAGACAATGATATACGCAATAGCCTCCCCTGTATCTCAGCACCCTGGGGTGAGAAGTGTGAGAGTTCATTTTTATAATGTGTATTAAAATTAAAATTAGAATGGAAGAAAATGCTATTGAAGTAGTCAGTAATAGTCTCACTCTTGCTGTTTCTCTGTGTGTGAAATAGGCCTCTTATAAATATGTTTGCATAAGAACAGCTGGTCCCCACAATTGCCTTCACTTAGACAGTTGTTAGCATTCAGCCTGTGAGCTGACATCCTTGCTGTCAGTGGATACAGTAATATAGACTTATAAGCCCTACTGGGTAGTCTCCCTCTCAGGTATTGACGATCATTTCTCTTTCAGGATATTAAAGCATTTGAAAACCAAGGACCCCATGCAACTAAGACTAGAGCACTTAGAACAAGGATTTTCTGTTTATGTTAATGGAGCTAATTCAGAGCTGAAAACCTCTCCAAGAAAGGCCATTCTTCCAGATTTCCCCAGAAGTGCTTCACATGCAGAAGGGGCACATGGTAAGTTGGAGTTTCTCTTAACACTTAGGAGCCATGTTATGATCATTCATTTTATCATAGTCTTTTAAGGTTTTCAAAGCACATTTTCCATAATGATCCTATTAGATGGTAGTAAAGGAATTGTTATATTTCCGTTTTACACATGAAGAAACTGAGGCTTACAGAGCGTTAGTGATTTGCCCATAGCCCAGTAGCTAGTAGATGTTGGAGGTGAGAACTAAACCCAGGTTTCACTTACACTTAGGTCAGTGTTTTGTCCACTACACCATCCTCCTTCCTCAGATGGCTAGATAGGATCCCTGAGGTGAGCTTTTTAGACCAAGTCCCTTTCCCCAGAGGAGAGGGAGCATGTGAATACAAGCAGCTAGTATGCCCAGCATGACCAGAGACAGCTAGCTGGCACAGTGAATAGCATGCCAGGCCTGGAGACTGGAGATTCCTCATTCTGAGTTCAAATCTGGCCTTGGACACTTACTAGCTGTATGACCCTGGGCAAGTCACTCTACCCTGTTTGCCTCAGCTCCTCCTCTGTAAAATGAGCTGGAGAAGGAAATAGCACTCTGTTTCCTTCACTCTAGTATCTTTGCCAAGAAAACTCCAAATGGGGTCATGAAGAATTGGACATGACTGAAACAACCGAACAACAACATGTCTGATGAATCCATGAGTTCAGCCCCTGAGATAAAAGGGATTCTGCCAATCCATATGTTTATCCTTAGGTAGTCTACTCGTGATTATTGTATTCAGAGGTTTCTAGGGTCTGCTCACCCCAGACTAATGAATTTGTAAGATTGCTAGCCTTGCTTTGCCTATCCCATCAAACATCAGAGACTCCAGTCTCTCCCTTCTCTCATCCATCCACCACACAGCCGCCAAAGTAATTTTCCTAAAGCGTAAGTCGAATTCACTCTCTTACTCAATAAAGTCTGCGCCTCCACATTGCATCAGGCATCGAATGCAAATCCTTATGTCTAGTGTTTAAAGCCGTTCTCAACCTGCATCCATCCTATCTTTCCAGGCTTATTCTGCTTTGCTTCCCCTCATGCACCCTACTGGTCTAGTCATACTGACCTTGCTGTTTCTCTGACACTTCCATCTGTTTACCTTCATGCAAGCTAACCCCCATAACTAGAATGCTTTCTCACTTTTGCTGTCTTAAGTTCCACTTTTCTACCTTTCCTAATCCCTCCAACTACCAACAACTTCCTCTACAAAATCCCCCTTTATTTATTGTGTATATATTTTGCATCAACTTTTTATGTGTGTGTTGTCTCCCCTGACAGAAAATAACCCCTTGGAAGGCAGGGATTATTTCATTGTCCCCAGCCCCTAACCCAGTGCCTAGCACACGGTAGGCACTTAATAAATGTTTGTTGATTTGTTTGACTGATTGATTCACCCCACCTTCTTGGTCCATTCCTAATTGATATATAATTCTGGACAAAGCCTATGTCTTGGATTGCAGTTACATGTATGGCTCCATTTCCCAGAATCCAAATAAGACTGGGACCCAAGGATAGCAGGAAAGCTCCCCAGAAGCTCATATCCTACTGCCCCTGTTTTTGTGAGTGAGTGTTCCACCACTAATTTGTATGCTGTTAATAAACCCTGAGCTTGGATTAGAAGTAGTTATGGTTATATTTTTTGTTCCTTTCAATTAAGGACTAGGAAAGCATACTCTCTTAAACCGTTGTTTTATAAACTACGGTTCGTGGACCCCTAATGGTTCTCCTTCCCCTTAGGATTCTGACAGTCTTAGCCATTCCCTTTCATCTTTCTGAAGGCTCTATCTATCCTCTGCTCTTCTATAAACATCCAATATAGGGAATTTGGATAAAGATTGTGAATAAGTAAGAAGAATAATTAGAAGATCAAGAAATAAAGATAATGAATGAAATTTTAACTTGAAAATTCCCAGAGAGGACATGGCAGAGTCTTTGTATGCATACATAAATGATTTTCAAAGATATGTGTTACTTTTCTAACCGTCTAATAGACTTGACGAAACAGGATGGTATGATATAATGGTGTAGGGGTTGCAAATTCTCCTTCCCCTGCAGTCCTCTGCAGTGTGATATCCAAACTCTTTGTCTTTGTCCAGAAGAATATGTAATAGATTCACAAGTCTTTGTGAAAAGAAATCAATATTTAGCTTATGTTGGTATAAATAATGAGTGCCATAAACTTAAAATAAATGTGAAATTTGCCTCTGAGATCATTGACATGATGAAAAGAACACTGGAATGAGAACCGGGAGGATTAGTTTATCATCATAGTTCTGCCACTTATGTGGTCTCGAGCAGATAAATCACATCTCTGAACATCAGTTTTCTCAGATGAAAATGGGCCTAATATCTGTTCTGTCTCCCTCCACAGGATTGTCATAAAGATTAAAAAAGATAAAGTATTCAAAACTGTGAAATGCTATACAAAATTTTAAAGTGATGGTGAATGTAACTCTCAGAAAACCAGTAGAGAACACTCTTATTATTGAAATGCCTTCTTTATTTACCTTAGGGAATAATGAATGATTTTAATACTGTTTAGATTTTTATCTTACTGGTTTTGTGCTCAATATTGGAATGTGGAACTCTCAAATCACATGCCTTACCAAGTAGCTCTCATTTTTTTTCAGATTCCGGAAGGAGACCTTTATTTAGAGAAACAGAAGAAGCACTAAGACGTGGTTCACGGACAGCACCTTGCAAAGTTCAGCGCAAAGGATGGCACCAGGTGTGGAAATGTAGGAGACAATCTCTGATGATGAAAAAACAACATTTTCTTTCATATAAGAAGCTTGGCTGTTATGGGCATATCATTAGTGCAGGATTTTGCTGAGTATTGTGAAAGGTGTGTGTGCCCTGAGGCATGACAGGCGTACTTTGTGGGATGCTCCTGTCTGGCCTAGGGGATAAATCAGCTGAAGATCAGAGATCCCCTTCTTTGACTTTTTTCGTATGCCTGTGACTTTTTTTCTGCTTTGAGTTCATGGGACCACATCTCTATCTAATTGGGGTTGCAGGAGGGGATGGCATGAGTACCTGATTCTAGCAGCCATCTGAGGGGCTAGGCACTGCCAGAAAGGCTTTGAAGTAAAGTTCCAATCTCTTGTTGATTTAGAACCATTCTTAGTTTTCTAGATAGAGTATCTAGAGATAGAATACCATATTTAGTATTCTAAATCCTAAATTCTAAATACCATATAGGCAGGGAAGTATATTGGAAAGAACAATTTTAAAGTCAAGAGACCTGGACTGAAATCCCATTTCTGCCACTTACTACCTGTGGCTTTGGGAAAAGTCACTTTAACCTCTCTTAGGCTTGATTTCTTCATCTGTATTATCTGGCAATAACATGAGGAGACCTGTAAAACAAATAAAATTAGAAAATAATAAAAGGCCTCTAGGAAAAGTCTTTAGTAGAACATAGCAGGGCTGAGGCTATGCTTAATCTTAGCTCAGATAGTTCAAGGAGTGATATTTGGAGATAATACATTTATCTTACAAGGCTGCTGTGAACAAAGGATTCTGTAAGGCCATGAATTGCTATATAAATGTACGTTATTATTTTTCAAATCTCCAAAATAAAACTCATTACAGTGGTATAGTCATCAATTCTAAGTGTAATGGGATGTTAATCACATACTTCTCTAAGTTCTGCTATTGTTTATACCCTCCAATGTACAGCTCTTAATGGGGATCTCTGTGGTATTTTTATGTGAAATTTGTGCTTGAAAGTCCCATTAAAAAGATGTCAAATTGAACAGAGACTTGTTCTCTCTCAGGTGAGGAAGTGATCCCAAAGTGAGGGGATAAGACCAATAAAGAGAAAGTACAGAGACCTTGGAAGATTACTATTTGACTGTCCTCCTACCTCTCTAATCTCTTCTCCTCAGTCTTCTTTGCTGGGTCATCATCCATATCCCATCCCCTAATCTTGTGTGTCTCTCAAGATTCCGTCTATCTTCTATTCTCTTTCTACCCTGTCTCTTGGTGATCTCATCAGTTCTAGTGGGCTCAGTGACTGTCTCTATGCAGAAGACTACCAAATTTATATATCTATCCCATTCTCTCTCCTGAGCTCCAATTCTATACCACCTGCTGCCTTTGGGACATTTCCACCTTGATGTCACATAAACATCCCAAATCAACCCAACCTAAAGAGAACTAATTGTCTTCCCCATTAAATCCACTTTTCCTCCAGAATGCCCTATTTCACTTTAATTGCTGCCCTATTTTTGTTGGTAGGTAACCCAACAGTAGGATGTCACAGATAGAAAGGCTTTTAGGACATAGACCTTCAAATGTTAGAGGTGCAAGGGACCCTAAAGAACACCTTGTCCAAGCCTCTCATTCTGTAGAGAGGAAAGAGGAGCTCAAAGGAGGGAGATAACCTGCGCAGGAGCACTCTGTGAGTGCAGAACAAGGACTAGAGGCTAGGATTCCTAACACTCAGTCCAGTGCTTTGCTCACACCACACTGCTGTCCTTCAGCCATTACCTACATGTATGTTTTTCATGGAATATGGGAATTTTCCCTAATTTATGGCAGTGGCAAGTTTTGCTTATTTCACAGATTTGGGCCTTGGTTCAAGTCTTCATCATCTTTCTCCTAGACTATTGTCATGGCCTTCTAATTGGTCTCTCCCCTCTTCAATTCATTCTCCACATGGCTGCCAAAATAATATTCCTAAAATGCCCATCTGACCATTTCACCATCCTCTGCAAAAATCATCAGGGATTTTCTGTTGCCTATAGGATAAATAAACTCCTTAGTTTGTTATTTAGAGACCTTCAAAATCTGGTTTTCGACTACCTTTCCAGCTTAATTATGTGTTATTCCCCTTCATGCTCTTTATGCTGCAGCCAAATTGGATTATTTGCTGTTCCCCAAATTTGGGATTTAATCTTTTGCCATGGTGCCATTTACCACACAGGCCATCCCTTCATACCCGACCTCTTAGACTGCTTAGTTTCTTCCAAGCTCAGCTCATGCATCTCACCTTCTGTGGGAAGCTCCTGCTGAGCCCCTTCATTGTTAGTATCCTCTTCCTTTTCGGGTTATCATATATGTGTGTACATCCTGTATTCCTACTCCCTATAGAATGGAAGCTTCTTGAGGGCAGAATGTTTATTTTGTCTTTATATTCCCAGCATCTAATACCTCTCTCATACACAGTAGTCACTAAAGTTTGTTGAATGCCTTAACATTGATGTCATTTACCTGCTCTCTGCTAGCCTAATTTTCCCAAGAACTTATGCCTAAGGGTACCTGAGGGTGAGCAGGTAAAATTTATGCTTTGGATAGTTTTTACCTTGTAGAAACAAATAAACCTTTTCTTCCTGGTAGGCCAGTGCATTTGGATCCCTAAAGAATTAGCCATGATGAGCATGGACTGTGTGTCTAGCCACAGCAGACTGCAAAGGATAATGTGTTCCAAGCCCTGAAAGCTGATTTTTAGTAATTAGGCCGTAAGTCTTTCATTCTATAATTATGAACTGTATTTGAGTCCTAGACTGTGACCAGATGCTTAAAGCAAAAGACTGAACCTAATTTTAAGAAATTTTAATTTAAGATCAGCCTTTCTTTTATAGCCACTTCCCATGGTACCTCATTTCTCAAGTCCTGCACACAGTTCATTTCCTGTTTTCTTGACGCAGACGCAAATATCAGGATGCCTAATCTCAGGCAAGATGTGGTTGGGCTTTGGATGTGTCAGACTCCTGCTACTGCAGGGGTAGCTGTAGCTGGTTGTATATGCACTTATGCTTCTACTTGACATTTTCTTTGCATCCTATCTGTGTGTTAGAGCCTTCTCCTGCTGTCAGTGGATTAAGATTTATGGTCACTATAGCCTTGTAATACTTGGGTGGACAGCAGACTAATAGGCAATGCAGTCGTTTACCAAAACTCTGTCAGATTTGATGAACATCATCAAATGTTAACCTTAAATTGGTAGTGAAAGGACTAGCCTTCCAGCAATTTATTGTGGTGTGGGCTTTACTGAAGGTCTCTAAAGAAAGTTCACCCCAATTATTAAGCACTGATTTTGCCTTCACTATAATGCCTCTCCAGTTTCCAACACATAGTCAGACTGCCTAGCCATGATCCTGTATTCTCAAAGGAGGCAATCTCACAAGTTAAGTTAAAGAAAGGATGTTAATCTTTCCCTTTATATTCTAGTTCTCAGCTTTTAAGATAGTTTGTCTCATCAATAAGACTGATTGTTCTGATATTATTAGTCCCATTTTTGTTGTTGTTGTTCAGTCCTCTCAGTCATGCCTGACTCTTCCTGACCCCATTTTGGGTTTTCTTGGCAAAGATATTCTAGCTGTTTGCCATTTCCTTCTCTAGCTCATTTTACAGATAAGAAAATTGAGGCAAATAGGGTTAAGTGACTTACTCAGGGTCGTATAGCTAGTAAGTATCTGAGGTTTGAACTCAGGAATATGAATCTTCTTGACTCAAGGCCTAGCACTTTATCCACTGCTCTAGCTAGCTGCCCGTTTTACAGATGAGGAAACTGAGTCTGAGCACCAAAGTGACTTGCTTAAGATCACAATAAATAGCAGGGCCAAACCCAGACCCAGGTCCCTTGACTGTCCTATATTGTTTTCATCACATCACAGCTATCTTTCTGTACTAATGAAGGTTTATGAAATAGCACAGAGAGATCAGGTGTTTATAACTTTCTTTCTATAAGACAGAAGGACAGAATGTCAACTACTATTATTTGAAAATCTTCAAGCAAACACTGCTCTTGGTCATAGAACCATAGATTTAGAGCTGGAAGGGACCTCAAAGACCACTGAGTTCAACTCCCTCATTTTGCAGATAAGGAAACTGAGGCAAAGAGAGGTTAAATAACTTGCCCAAGAGTTACACAGCTAGTAAATGCCTGAGGCAGAATTTGCACCCAAGTCCAGTGCTTTATGCTGTAGCCATCTGGTTTTTCTCACTCATGTGAATTTGATACCTTAGCACTTTCGTACCCAGTACTCTACTTTGTCGGTTTGTTTATGAGGTATTGCTCCACCAAATGATCCTTAGACATGTATGTGTTTATTTAACTACTTGAGGTCAAGATTTTTGTCTTCTGTTTCTTTTTTAGACTCCATCCACATGTGGCCTCGAGGCCACAGCTTCCCCACCCCTGTTTTATACCATGCTTTCTCACACATGATACAATCATAGATATACTTTCTGAATGGAAAAGGACTTAGAAATCATCTCATTTAGCCCCCTCATCTCACAACTGGGGAGACTAAGGCCCAGACAGGGAAAATACTCTGTTCAAAGCCACACAGATAGGGGCAGCTGGGTGGCGCAGTGGAAAGAGCACTGGCCCTGGATTCAGGAGGACCTGAGTTCAAATCCAGCCTCAAACACATAACACTTAGTAGCTGTGTGACCCTGGGCAAGTCACTTAACCCCATTGCCTAGCCAACAAAACAAAACAAAGCCACACAGATAATTCATTGCAAAGGTGACCCTAGAACTTTGGTCTCCTGACTGCCTATCCTGTGCTATGCTTGTGAGAATTACATGGGGCAATGTATGCAAAATACTTTTCAAACTTAAAAGTACTATTGAAAATATCAGCTATTATTTTTATTTCTATTAACCTAGCATCTCATTCTCTTCACTGGATACAATGGTAACCACCATAAGATCATAGCATCACAGGTTTAAAGCTAGAGCTTAGAGATCAGCCAGTCCAAATTTCTCATTTTATGGATGAAGAAACTGAGGCTGAGAGGCATTAAGTGACTTTCTCAGGGTCACTCAAATAGTAAATGGCAGAGAAAGGATTTGAACCCAGGTGCCTTTACTTTAAATCCTTTGCTCTTACACTGAACCACACCACAATCTCATATGTGGTCTTTCTCAGTTCCTTCCATTTGCTTCCTTCTTAGAGGGTCTATCCAGTGTGCTGGAGGCTTTTCTATGGGCCTCTTCTTATTTTATAGATAGCAACATAACACTCCGGCTGTCCATTTCGTATCCCTCACTCTGACCACATGATCAACCCACCTCCTTTTTGGCCAAACATGTCGTCATGTCATAGATGATGGAAGTTCTAGTGCATTTTATCATTGACTTTGCTGCAGCATCAATCATTCTTGCACATCATCTGTCCTATCTCTTCATCTTTCCATTACTCTTTGGGCTACATGTGACTTTGATTTTCCAGAGGTTGTGGTGTTCTGTGATTCACAGGCATATAGCATACTCTAGGAGTATTCATAATTTAAATGATGGATTGGAGCCATTTGGAATCACTGCAAGTGCAGCACAGTTTTTCAGATGTTGCTTACCCTACTTCCAGCTTCCTATTCTCTTCTGAGCTTAGTTCATTATCTATAGTGCTTCAGGAAAAAGAAGTGAGCCCTGTTTTTTGTTTTTATTTTTGTTTTTTGAGACAGAGTTTCTCTGTCTTGCCCAGGCCGGAGGTGTGGTGAGCACTACACAGTCCAACCCCACTGAAGATTTGCAAGGAAGTTTGACCTGCTCTGTTTCTAACAGAAAATGGCCAGATCAGCCCACCTTAGGCAGCCTGGTGGCCTCTTGCTCCTGGGAACTTACCATATTGGTGCCAGATTTAGTATAGACAAATATTGTTTTAACCTTGATGCAACTCAGAACTCCTAAACTCCAGCAATCCACCAGCTTCTGTCTCCCTAGAAGCAGGGACTACAAATGTGTACCCCCATGCCTGATAAGGTGAGTTCTGATTAGGAAGTACTAGAAGAGTGGCAGTGGTTGAAGGGTGCAGTACTAGGGACCAGAGTACCAGGCAAAGGCAGTGGAAGAGCACTGGCATTGAAGTCAGAAGACTTGTGTTCAAATCTCAGCTCTGCATGTTGTGACCTTGGGCAAGTTTTTTAACCTCTGAAGTCAAAAGGTTTAATTTGTGCTTAACCTTCCAGATCCTGTTTTCTCTTCTGTAAGATGAGAGAGTTGAACCTCATGATCTCAATGGTCTCTTCTGGCTATGAACATTCTTCTTTTTTTTTTTTTTGTGATACATTTTTATTTATTTTGTTAAATATTTCCCAATTAAATGTAATTTTTTTTCACATTCATTTAAAAAAATGTTTTTGAGTTCCAAATTCTCTCCCACTTCCTCTCCTCTCCCCCATCTTTGAGAAGGCAAGCAATATGATATTGATTATACACATGAAGTCATACACAACATATTTCCATATTAGTCATATTGCAAAAGAAAACATACACAAAAAAACTCCAAGAAATTGAAGAAAGTTTAAAAAAATATGCTTGAAGCTGCACTCATTGTTCATCATTTCTCTCTCTCTGGAGGAGGATAGCATTTTCAACATGTGTCCTTTGGAATCGACTTAGATCATTGTCTTGCTCAGGGTAGCTAAGTCTTTCACAGTGGATCATTGTTACAATATTCTCCTGGTTCTTCTCACTTCACTTTGCATCAGTTCATATAAGTCTTCCCAGATTTTTCTGAAGCCATCCTGCTTGTTATTTCTTATAACACAACAGTATTCCATCACAATTATATACCACAACTTGTTCAGCCATTTTCCAGTTGATGTGCATCTCCTCAATTTCCAATTTTTTGCCACCATAAAGAGTTATGATAAATATTTTGTACATATAGGTCCTTTTCCTTTTTTATTTTTAAATCTCTTTGGGATATAGTTTTAGTAGTGATATTGCTGGGTCAAAGAGTATGCACAGTTTTATGGACCTTTGGATATAGTTCCAAATAGTTCTCTGAAATGGTTAGACTAGGTCACAGCTCCACAGCAGTGCAAAATGTCTCAATTTCTCCATATCCCCTTCAGCATTTGTCATTTTCTTTTTATGTCAACCAATCTGATAGGTGTGAGATGGTATCTCAAAGTTGTTTTAATTTGATTTCTATAATACATTATTAATTCAGAGCATTTTTTTTCATGTGGCTATTGATAGCTTTGGTTTGTTCTTCTGAGAACTGCCTGTTCATATATTCTTTGACAATTTATCAATTTGGATAATGGCTCTTATTTTTTTATAAATTTGGCTCAGTTATGAAATATCTGAGAAATGAAGTTTTTATCAGAGAAACTTGCTATAAGATTTCCCTCTCATGGTTTCCTGTTTCCTTTCTAATTTTGGCTGCATTAGTTTTGTTTGTGTAAAAACTTTATCATTTCATGTATTCAAAATTATCTATTCTACTTTCTGCATTCTCTGTCTCTTAGTTGGTCGTAAACTCTTCCCTTATCTGTTACCCTAATAGCTTTTTATGGTCAGGTTCTTTTTTTGGTGTTTGCTTATTTTTCCAGCCTATTTCTTGACTTTGAACTTTATTAAATTTAGGCTGTATTCCTGGTGTGGGAATGGGATAGGAGGTGAGGGATAGTCTAAAACTTCAAGCTTTTTCATGCTGCTATTTTCAGAGTTAGTTCTGGTGGCTTGGAAGTTTTCAGTACTTCCAAGGTGGTATGATTTGGGAAGTGGTGTGATCACTGCTGTCCTCGTCTGTGCTCTGGTCCTTACCTAGGAAGGGCCCCAATCCCTTGGCATTTCAATAGATACTACTCCTCAGGGCTCCTGTTCCATTGTGACCAGAAGTTCATCTTTCTACCCTTCATCTACCCACAAGTGATAGCATCTGGTCCTACGTCCAGTGCTAGCACAGAGTCCCTTGTAATCTCTTTCTGACCAGTTACCAGGTCCCCTTGCCATATCTGGCTTGAGAGCTCCCAAAGCTGCTGCTGCTTCTGTTGCCACCATCTAGTTCCACCAGTGCTTTTGTATCCACATGGGCTTCAAGTCAGCCTCACTTGTGTCACAGATCTCTCCTTCCACCCTCCTAAGTTGTCTTGGGCTGGAAAAATATCTCACCCTGACCTTTTGTTGGTTTTGCCACTCCAGAATTCGGTTTGAGGCATTATTTTAAAGTTGTTTGGAGGGGAATGTTGGAAGAGCTTGGCTGAGTTCTTCCTCTATTCTGCCATCTTGTCTCCACTCACTCTGAACATTCTGTGATTCTGCATTTGAGCTTTAGAAACTGGTCATGGTTCATCCAGCAAAGTGAGAAACCACTCTGAAACAGCTTTGCCTCTTTGAGATGGGCCTAGTTAGGAGGATTTTATTATGTGCTCTTGTGTAGTTCACATCTTATTGCTAAAAGAAGACTAACTCTATGCAATAAAATCCAGCTACAATATAATTATCATGCGAAACATTTGTCCCTGTCCCACAGCTGCAGTCTGTAGTATGAGAAAGGAATTTTACTGTATAGCTAAAATCTTTTTTTTCAATTTTCACTTATAGAAGTCTGTACAGATTAGAACCGAAGCTGGACCTCGACTCTACCTTGACCCCCCTCCTGACTTTGCTGAGGATTTTGAAAGAAACCAGCATGTGAACATCAAGACAAAGGATATTCCTAGGGATTTTTCCCAGGTATGACTCTGTCATGGCATGAAACTAATGGCCACGCTTAGTAATCATAATAATGGTAGCTTACATTTTTATAGTGCTTTAAGGTTTAGGTATTGTGTTTACATCACAGAGGTCAGTTTTTATCTGATAATTACATAGGAAAGAAAGCCTTTGAATAGCTAGAGGAATTTCAAACTTCTAACTTTCCTCACATAATACTTTTGTCTTTCCTGATTGCCATCTCATTTTTTTGTTTTGTTTTTGTTTTTGTTAGGCAATGGGGTTAAGTGACTTGCCCAGAATCACACAGCTAGTGAGTGTTATGTGTCTGAGGCCAGATTTGAACTCAGGTTCTCCTGACTCCAAGGCCGGTGCTCTTTCCACTGTACCACCTGGCTGCCCCTGCCATCTCATTTTATGAATATCACATTGAACTCCCATTTCCACCCTTAGTCTTTGGCACTTCATAATCTTTCCTTAGAGTTATCTCTGTACTTTTGTCATATACTGTCCAACGCCAAGTTCAAGGGATGCCTTCTATCCATGGGCCCATCCTGATCTTCCTATTGCTAGAGTCCTCCAGGAAACCATTTTGTCTTCTATTCTGAGCAGATAATTTGTGTTTACTTTTCTGTGTAGGCATCATTTCTTCCCGGGTGAATTTAAGCTTGTTGAAAGCAGGGACTGTTTCATTTTAATCTCTGTATCCTTAGTTCCTAGAACCATACCTGGCACATGGTAGGTACTTAATACATACTTATTCTATTGATTATCAAGCATTGGGTAAGCACCTACTATAGGGCCATAGCATTATGGTTTAGAGCTGGAAAGGACCTTCTAGTCAAACCCTCTTCATTTTTGAATTGGGGAAACTGAGGCCTAGAGAGTTTAACTTGGGCACAAAAGGTGCCCAAGTTGAGGAGACTTGAGCCCAGAGGTGCCCAAGGTCACACAGGTAGTAAGTGGCAGAGCCATTTGAACCCAGGTCTCATGACTCCAAGTCCAGCTCTATTTTCACTGCACCAACCAGACATATTCATTGTTGACCATATGAACAATAGTAGATACAAAACCTAAGTTAGTGAGCCATGATCATTCAAATTCAAGTTCTTTAATCTAGGAAGTGATGACATTTCCCTTAGTAGCATTCTCTCAACCATAATGTACATTCTATATATTTTATAGTCTCACAAGTTCAGTAAAATCCTGTCTTAACATAATAACATTGTAGACAAAATGTCAATTTCATGAAATGAACATGACTAGAAAAGAAGATTTAAATAATATTTATGAGTATTACATGTAATTAAAATTAAGATAGACTTAGTAAAAATCCCAACAAAAATGAACAACCAAATAAATAGACTAAATTAGGAATAAATTCACCCTTAAAAGTATAAACTTCATGCTATTTACATTTTGATAGCAGGAAAAAATAAATTTTAAGAAAATAACAATAACATCTTCTTTTCTCTGCTTCCTTCCAGTATATTTATGTTTATTTACATATACAGTTTTGCTGCTGTTATTACTTCTATTATCTGGACATCATGCTTATAGGTTGTAGCTCTGAATCTGCTTTTCTCTTCATCATTTCAAAGATGTTTATCCATATTTCTTTGCAGTCCTCATATTTGTCATTTTTTATTACACTGTAATATTCTATTACAATGATACATCAAGCTTTATTCAGCCACTTACCAAATCATTGGACTTATAAAGTTGTTCCCAGACAACATTGTTTACCAATGAGGCCTCTATGAATTTTTCTGTATAAATCCATTTAATTCAACAGATATTTTGTTTAATGCTTGCTCTATTCAAGTCATTGTGCTAGATACTGTTTATACAAAGACAAAAATAGCAATATCTCTGCCTTCAAAGAGCCTATATCCCTTTTCTTTAACTTTTAGTTTCCAACAATCACTTCCATAAGCTTTTGAGTTTTAAATTTTCTCCCCCTTCCTCCACACCTCCCTTCCCAAGACAGTATGAAATCTAATATAGGCTCTGCATGTACATTCTCATTAAACATATTTTCACATTAGTCATGTTTTAAAGAAGAATTAGAATCAATAGGAGGAAGTATAAGAAAGAAGAAAAAAACAGAAGAAAAAAAAAGAAGAGCAAATAGTATGCTTTGATCTGTATTCAGATTCCATAATTCTTTCTCTGGATGTGGATAGCATTTTCCATCATGAGACTTTTGGAGATGTCTTAGATCCTTGCATTGCTGCGAAGAGCTAAGTCTACCAAAGTTAGTCATCACACAGTGTGGCTGTTACTGTGTACAATGTTCTCCTGGTTCTGCTCACTTCACTCAGCATCAGTCCATACAAGTCTTTCCATATACCACAACTTGTTCAGCTATTTTCCAATCGATGGGCATCCTCTAAATTTCTGATTCTTTGCCACCTCAGAAAGAGCTGCTATAAATATTTTTGTACATGTGGGTCCTTTTCCCATTTGTATGATCTCTCTGGGATACAGATCTAGAAGTGATATTGCTGTGTCAAAGGGTATGCACATTTTTATAGCCTTTTGGGCATAATTCCATATTACTCTCCAAAATGGTTGGATTCTTTCACAACTCCACCAACAATGCATTAGTGTTCCAATTTTCCCATATCTTCTCCAACATTCATCATTTTCCTGTCTTGTCACGTTAGCCAATTTTGATAGGTGTGATGTGGTACCTCAGACTTGTTTTGATTTGCACTGCTCTAATCAATAGTGATTTAGAGCATTTTTTCTATATGACTGTAGATGGCTTTAATTTCTTCATCTGAGAACTGCCTGTTCATATCCTTTGACCATTTATCAATTGGGGAATGATTTGTATTCTTATAAATTTGACTTAATTCTCTATATATTTTAGAAATGAGGCCTTTATCAGAGAGACTGGTTGTAAAAATTCTTTCCCAATTTTCTACCTTCCTTCTAATCTTGGTTATGTTGGCTTTGTTTGTGCAAAAACTTTTCGGTTTAATGTAATCAAAGTTATCCATTTTGCTTTTCATAATGTTCTCTATCTCCTGTTTGGTCATTAATTCTTCTGTTCTCCATAAATCTGATAGGTAAACTATTCCTTGCTCTCCCAGTTTGCTTATAGTGTCAGCCTTTATATCTAAATCATGAACCCATTTTGACTTTATTTTGGTATATGGTGTGAGATTTGGGTCTATGCCTAGTTTCTGCCATACTCTTTTCCAGTTTTCCCAGCAGTTTTTGTCAAAGAGTAGGTTCTTATCCCAGAAGCTGGGGTCTTTGGGTTTATCAAATAATAGATTACTATAGTCGTTGACTACTGTGTCTTATATACTTAACCTGTTCCACTGATCCACCACTCTATTTCTTAGTCAGTACCAAGCAGTTTTGATGATTGCTGCTTTATGATACAATTTAAGATCTGAAATGGCTAGGCCACCTTCCCCTGCATTTCTTTTCCTTAGTTCCCTTGATATTCTGGACCTTTTGTTCTTCCAGATGAATCTTGTTGTTATTTTTTCTAACTCTATAAAATAATTTTTTTGGTAGTTTGATTGGTATGGAACTGAATAAGTAAATCAGCTTAGGTAGAATTGTCATTTTTGTGTTATATTAGCTCGGCCTACCCATGAGCAAATGATGTTTTTCCAATTATTTAGATCTGACTTTATTTGTGTGAAAAATGTTTTGTAATTATGTTCATAGAGTTCCTGGGTTTGTTTCGGGAGGTAGACTCCTAAATATTTTATAATGTCTACAGTAGTTTAAATGGGATTTCTCTTTCTATCTCTTGCTGTTGGGCTTTGTTGGTAATATATGGAAATGCTGATGATTTATGTGGGTTTATTTTATAGCCCGTAGCTTTGCTAAAGTTGTTTATTTTTTCAAGTAGTTTTTTACTTGATTCTCTAAGATTCTCTAAGTGTATCATCATATCTAAAAAAATCTTTACTTGGCTCGGACATCCCCTCAAGCTGTTGTCGTCTGTCTCTCCAGTTTTCTGCTGTACACTGAGAGAAAAGCCATCTATGCGTCGTCTTTACTTCCTCAGATCCCATTCACTTTTTAATCCCTTCTCATCTCATGTTCATTTCTACTATGTGTCTCAATCTGCTCTCTCCAAAATTACCATTGATGTCTTCATTGATAAGTTGAGTTGTCTTTTCTCAGTCCTGATTCTCTTTGACCTCTCTGTAGCATTTGGCAATGCTGTTCACTCCCTCTTCCTCAATACTCTCACTTCTGTGGGTGATCATGACCCTGCTCTCTTTTACTTTTACCTGTCTAACCATTCCTTCTCAGTCTTGTTTGATGGATTTATCATCCATATCCCATATTCTAACTGTGGGGGTTCCCCAAAGCTTTGTCTTGGGCCCTCTTCATTTCTCTTTCTTCATTCTATCTTGGTGATCAGTCTCATTAGTCCCAATAGATTCGCCTCTCTCTATGCAGATGACTCCTAAAACTGTGTATCTAGTCCTCTTCTCTCTTCTGAGCTCCAGTCCCCTATCATCAACCTCCTGTTGTATGTATCCATCCAGAAGTCCCATAGGCTTCTCAAATCCAGCATGTCCAAAACAGAACTCAGGCTCATGGATAGAGAACTGGAAGAGACCTTAGAAGCCATCCACTCCAACCCTCATTTTACAGCTGAGGAAACTGAGCAAGGTGAAGTGACGTGTCCGATGTCATTTAGCTAGTAAGTATCAAAGGTGTGTTGGAATTTAGGCCCCTACCTCCAGAGCTAGCTTTCTTTCCACCAAACTATACCCTTTTCATTATCTTTCCTCTAGAACCCATACCTCTGCTCAACTCCTGGACAGCCCTCCTTTCACCCAGATTGTAACCTGAAAGCTATCTTCTGCTACTCGTTCTCCCATGCCCCTCATATCCATTGACTTAGCAGATCTTGTTGATTCTGCTTCAGCTACCCCTCTCACATTTGTCTCCTTACCACTCACCTGAGCACCACCCTAGTTTAGGCCCTCATCACTTCTTGCCTAGATCTTCCCTGCAGCCTCCAGCTTGGCCCA